TGGATCTGGAGGCTCTCGCCCCGCTCGACGAGGGAGACGCCGAGGGGCGTATCCCGCCTGGGTCAGCCCGCGGACGCGCGCATGGCCGCGCCTTCGGGGAATTTCGGCCTGCGCGACGGCCGCGCGGCGATCCGCGGCGCCGCGCCCCCCGACGGGGAAGAGGCGCCCCCTGGCGTGGAGAGGGCTAGCCCTACCAGTCAACGGACGAGCTCGCAGGGTGCGAGCTGGAGGACGACGCCGGCGCCGAGGAGCGCCGCCCCCTCCCTGCGCGAGCTTCGCCGCTGCCAGCGGCGCTGCCTGCTCTGCCGCGGGCCCGTTTCGGCGCGCAGCCGAAGGCCTGGGCAAGCGGGGCCCGCCCCCGCGCGGGAGGAGCAGTCGCCGCGGCCCTAGTCTCTTTTGGAATTGGCGCTGCCGTGTCTGCGAGGGTCCCTCTGGCGGTCGGGGCGGCCCCAGGCTGCGACGCATCCCCTCCCGGGGCGCTCGGCGACCCTCTTCATCCTACAGCCCGCGCGACGGTCGAGGGAGGGCCCGTCGGCTCCCCGATGCGAGAGGTCGCGCATCGCAGGGAATAGCAGCAAGTAGTGGCGCAGCACGGGCAAGAATTTCGACCCATCCCGAGGGCGATCCTTGCACGGGCTCTGGGGCTGGAGCCAGGTACCACCCCCATGGCAGTGCTCCAAGGACCGCCAGCCTTACCGCCAGGCTGCGTCCTTGAGGCGACTGCATCGCGACGAAGGCAAACGCGCAGAATCCGCGGATGCACGATCGCTGGCATTGCCGTCCTTGTTTCGGGCACCCGGGGCGGGTGTTTGTGATGGTCCATCGGCACGGATGGGCATTCAGGCCCGTGCGGCCCTGCATCCCCGGGAAAGCCGTGCCTGCCCTGTGTGCGAGGGCGAAAGATCCTAGGCCACTGTCGCCCGGCCATGCACTGGACAAGAGGCTATGCCCAGTGGGGCTTTTCGAGATCAAAGAAATCTCTTAGTGGCGCCGCGTGCAGTATCGAATGGTGTCGGCACGGGGAGCGAGTGGAGGAGGAGGAGGTGGAGGAGGAGAAATTGTTAGGGATTCTGGACGAATTCTAGAGGCGTGCTAGCTAGTTTTGGGAGGCTCCCGACGTCAATCCCGTCTCCTCCGCTTCTTCCTTAGCTTAGCACGGGGGGCAGATTGAGGGGGAGCAGGGTCAGGAGGAGAAGGGGGGAGGGGGATGAGTAGGAGGATTATGTTTTAGGAGTGTCGAAGGGTGGTCCAAGGACTATCGTTCTGGATCCGAGTTGGTTCTAGTTGCTGATTCGTCTCCGTCGTCCTCCTCCTTCCCTCCTCGTCATTATTACCTTCATCATGGATGCATTCCCCCTCGTTCTCCTCACCTCCCTTCCCCCGCTTGGCCTTTCACTGTATTTCCTTGGCACAGTAAAAAAATAATCCTCCCTGTTCCCATCATATTCCCTTTTTCCAGTTCTTGAGGACCACCTTCGCCCTTCCTTCCTTCCCCTGCTCCACTCGTTCACCCGCTCCTTGCTATGTGCACTTCTGCTGTCGGCCAATGGGACAGTTCGACCTAGTGTGCACAGGAGGTGCGCGCGCCAACGGCCGCGCACCGCTGCAAAAAGACAATGCGAACATTGATGAGGTGAGTTGGCCTGTTCATCGTTGCGGCATCGTTTACCGTCACCGTTCACCGTTGTGGGATCGTGGTCGTAGCTGTGCCGTGTGCGTAATGATGTTGTTGTAGCCGCGACTCCTTTGGTTTAGTGACAGTGGCATTGCAGCTATTGGTGCGTTTCCAGCTGCCTGAGACTAGCCCCACCACCGTGCCAGTGCAACAACACAGATGGAAGGAGTTCTCTCATCCTTTTTCATCCTTTCTCTTCCGCCTCAGTTCCCCGTACTCCCGCTTCCTTCTTTTCGAACATTTACTTGAGACCCCTTGGGGGCCACGTTGGGGCCTCTGAGGGCCGTTGGCAGTATATTTTGGGGCTTCTTGGGAGTCCGTTGGGGGCCTGTCGAGGGTTTTCGGGCCGTATTGGGCGCGGTGGTGGCCCCCTCAAGTGGCCAAGGCCAGCCAGCCTGGGCCCCCCGTTCTCTCTGCCGGTGAACAGGACAATCATTTTCTCGGGCCAGGCAGCGATCTGCGCAATCCGGACGAGTCGTCTCCCTCGGCCCCCGCCGCGGGCAGCAGCAGCGTCTCTCCGGCGGCCCTGTTTGCCAACGGGCCAGAGGTCGCTCTTCCGGATCGCCCTCCGAGCCAGACTGCCACAGTCTCCGCTGGCGCGGACACGTGCGCGGGCACTCAGGCCAGGCTCGGGCTCGCCCTTCGGAGGAGGACAGCGGTACAGATCTATTACGTTGATCCCCTTCCCCTCTTCAAGGAAGGAGGGGATCGATCAGAGGAGGAGGGGGAGGGAGGAGGAAGGAGGCGGACCTGTATGAATGTGGGGTTCCTGGCCTCCAACAGGTCCCAGGGTGCCCTGCACGGTGCTGGCCCTCCTCAGGCGCCCTCGCCCCTTGGTTCGGCGGCGCGCACAAGGGGGTGGCGCGAGGGGGGAGGTCTTCCACGGAGCCACGAGGCTTCTTGGAAGGCAGGGGCCTCTCAGAGGGCCCTAGCGTCTTCTAAGACGCCCCCTGCCTTTGAGAAGCCCCTTGGCTTCTTGGAAGGCCCCCCCTCGCGCCGCCCCCTTCTGCGCGCCGCCCCTTGGCCCTCGCGCGCACCGCGGCTCGCCAGTGGCTCGTGGCCCTCCCCCGGACCACGCGGGAATCTTTTTCCGCGGCGCGACTGCCCCGGGAGCCGCGCCGAGGTCGATCGAGACTGCAACCCCGCACCCTCGCCGCCGGCCGTGGCCGACCAGAGCGCCCGCTCAGCCCCTCGCAGGTGCGCCCTGCCCCCCAGGGTCATCCGCGAGGCGGGTCCTTTCGACTTCGGAGGCTCCAGGCCTCGCAGATGGGGTCCGAGTAGATGGGGTCGGGGGATCACGCGCCACTGCCAGGGGCTGCACCGAGGTCGATCGCCGAGGTCGCATCCCGCGCCCCGCGTCAGCTGTGGCCGACGATATCGCCCGCTGGGTCCCTCGCAGGAGCGCGCTGCCCTCGAAGACCAAAACTGCATAACCATAAACTTTTAGAGCTCCGCGCAGATTTCTTGGATCGGCGCTGGGGCCCCCCTGGCGCGTTCCGCGCGCGTCAGGGAGGTCGAGTCCCGCGACCCGCGCCGGTCGTGGCCGGCGAGAGCGCCCGCCCAGTGCCTTGCAGGTGCGCGCTGCCCCCCGCGGTCTTCCACGAGGTTGACCCTTTCAGTTTCGGATGCCCCGCCTCAGGGCTGATCTCGATGCCCCCGACTCGATTCGATTCGATTTCGATCGATTCCGGTTCCGATGCGGTTTGACTTCGGCGAAGTGGGCTTTGGTTTCTCAGTGGAGGCCTTACTAGACTGCCGAACTCCGTTGATTCGACCGCTCCCGACTTGGCCGCCGATTTCCGCCGATCCGATTCGTCTCGATCGCCGATCCGACTTAGCGATTTGATTCTGGGCTCTTCTGCCACATCGTGCACCGTCGGCCCACCGGCTAGTGCTGCCGAGGCACAAAGCCTCGATGCCAGTTACACCGCCACCAGCGTCAGTGTCCAGGCCCGGGCGGCCACATGCCCTCCAACGCCAATGCCACGACGCTGCCGCGCAGGCCGAAGCTGCCACCGCCGTGCTTTCCAGCGGCCAGCCGTCCTGGATTAGATTGGAGGATCGCGCCGCATCGCCGATGTATCGGCGATGCGGCTCGATGCGGAGCCCGATTTTCTCCTCGCCGACGTCGCCGATGCAGCGCAGACGTCGCCGATGCATCGCCGATACATCGGCGATGCGGCGCGATCCTCCGACCCCATCTGCTCGGACCCCGCCCGGGGGGGCATCTAGCTACGCCGTGCTGTGTTGCGAGATGCGCACGCAGGCCGTTCTTGGAGCCACCCTCCGCCAGCTTCTCGCTGCGCACTCTTCCGCGTGTTGCTTTGGGTCGAGCCAGGCGCCCAGCCACTAGTGCGCGTGGCGCGTTTCACCACACATTTTCGCCTTTCCCTGGAGGCCCTGCCCAGCTAGCAGCGCCTTGCCGAACACCGAGGGGTAACCGCAAGAGGTCTTTAATACTGCCAGGCCCTCCCCCCAAAGCTCTTGGCTGGCAGCAAATTATCATCCGCCTCCTCCTCCTCCGCGACGGTGGCAGCGGTGGAATAATTGTTTCCCGATGATTGTTAACTGTCGGCAAACTTCATTTGGGCCCCGAAACAGAATTATTTCCCCATAATTTGGGGGGTATTCAAGACCTATCGCGGTTCACTCGAGGGGGTAATTCTTTGGCCAGGGCGGCGCCTTGCCAAGACGTTACCTCACCCCCGGCCGCCTTTCCGCGAGCGCCTTGGCTGTCGCGCAGGGTGTCCGCCGCCAGGTACCTCTGTCCACTGCAAGCATCGAGCGTCGCGCCATGGGACAGCGATACGCAGATTGGGGGGGAAGGAAGGGCGCACATCCTGTGCCCCAGAGGGACGCCAGACAGGGGCACGGAAGGTGCACCTTTCTCCGCCCCCCGAGTCACCGCCCCCCCCCCCCCCCCGCACGAGGCAGCGCGTGCTCCCTGCCCGCCCCTCGCTCGGCGCACCGACCGCGCTTGCCACTGGGGCTCGGTCGGCGGACCCGTCGCGTGCCGCGGAACGCCCGGGTTGACCCGAGGTCCGCGTCCGTGCCGCTTCTCTTTGGCCTCTCTCTCCCTCTCGCTCTCTCTCTTGTCCTCTCTCTCTCTCTCTCTCTCTCTCCCCCCCTTGTTCCCCCCGCTCCTGTCCCCCCCCCCTCCCCCGTTCCCTCCCTCATCCCCCTCCCCATTCCCCTCCGCTCCCCTCCCCCTCCTCATCCTGCCCCTGCTTCGCCTCCCCTCCTCCTGCCTCGTGAATGGCTCGAGCGAGCAGGCCTTGCGGCCATCCCGCGCGGGCGCCGAGGGGGGGAGGGCTCTTCGATGCAGGCCGTCGTGCGGAAGAGGGCGGTCAGCTTCCACTTCGATGGCGACGACGAGGAGTGGCCACTCCCAATTTGGAGCCAGCTGGTGGTCTGAGGTGGCCCAGCTCTGGTTCTGGCCAGGGGGGAGGGGCTCGAGGTTCTGGCTTCGAGGTGTTTTTGTTAGCATTTTTTCCTGGAAAGGGCGTCTGCTCAGGGTTCTCTTTTAGCTGTTTACCCCCGGAATCGACGGGAAGAAGGCCGGCCACACTATTTGCAGTAGATAACGACGCGGGAAGAGGGCCAGCGAAATTATGATTGAGGATGTCCCAGGCGAGACGCTTGTTGTGCAGAAATGGTTGAGGATGTCTCGAGCGAAACGCTTGTTTCGTGTTATAGATGGTTCTCTCCTGGGGGGCCAGGATTCAGAGGATCTCTCCAGCGAAATGCTTGTTTTCACGAGTCCAGGTCTTGAGGATGTCTCGAGCGAGACGCTTGGTGTCACGCGTCCAGGTCGCCCAGGCAGAATGTCTAGCATGAGGATCTGTTGAGGATGTCTCGAGCGAGACGCATGTTTTCACGCGTCCAGGTCGCCAAAGTGAATGTCTAGCATGAGGATGTGTTGAGGAAGTCTCGATCGAGACGCTTCTTTGCACGTGTCCAGGTTACCCAGGCGGATGTCTAGCATGATGATGAGTTGAGAATGTCTTGAGCGAAGCGCTTGTTTTCACGTGTTCAAGTCGCCCAGGCGGATGTCTAACATGAAGATGTGTTGAGGATGTCTCGAGCGAGACGTTTGTTTTCACGCGTCCAGGTCGCCAAAGTGAATGTCTAGCATGAGGATGTGTTGAGGATGTCTCGAGCGAGACGCATGTTGTCACGCGTCCAGGTCGCCAAAGTGAATGTCTAGCATGAGGATGTGTTGAGGAAGTCTCGGTCGAGACGCTTCTTTGCACGTGTCCAGGTTGCCCAGGCGGATGTCTAGCATGATGATGAGTTGAGAATGTCTTCAGCGAAGCGCTTGTTTTCACGTGTTCAAGTCGCCCAGGCGGATGTCTAACATGAAGATGTGTTGAGGATGTCTCGAGCGAGACGTTTGCTTTCACGCGTCCAGGTCGCCAAGGTGAATGTCTAGCATGAGGATGTGTTGAGGAAGTCTCCATCGAGACACTTCTTTGCACGTGTCCAGTTCGCCCAGGCTGATGTCTAGCATGATGATGAGTTGAGAATGTCTTGAGCGAAGCGCTTGTTTTCACGTGTTCAAGTCGCCCAGGCGGATGTCTAACATGAAGATGTGTTGAGGATGTCTCGAGCGAGACGTTTGCTTTCACGTGTCCAGGTCGCCCAGGCGGATGTCTAGCATGAGGAGGTGTTGAGAACGTCCAGAGAAAAACGCTTGTTTTCACGTGCCCAGGTCACCCAGGCGGACCTCTCACCGTCTAACACGAAGATATGTTGAGGATATCTCGAGTGGATCACTTGTTTTCACGTGTCCAGTTCGCCCAGGCGGATGTCTAGCATGAGCATGTGTTGAAGATGTGTTGAGCAAAACGCTTGTTTTCATGTGTCCAGGTTGCCTGGGCGGATATCTAGCATGAGGTTGTGGGCAGGATGTCCCGAGCGAAATTCTTGTCCCCAGCACGTTCCGTAGCGCGTCCCCTTGGCACGTCCCGCGGTGCGTTCCCACGGCACGTCCCCTGGCACGTCGCCTGGCGCGTCCTTTGGAACGTCCCGCGGCGCGTCCTCCCGGCATGTCCCCCTGTCAATTAGCTCCGGGGCAGCTACTATGTGCTCAGGCGGCTCGAGCTTAAGATCCAGATCAGTTCGAACAGGACTCTGATGCAAAGGAGGACTCGATCCACAACGCTATAGAGTACAATCGCGGCATGGCACATCGCAATTCAGCACGGAGCAGCACAGCACAGCTCTCGGCACGGCACATCAAGATTGATACATTCAGCATTGCAACCTGGCACGTTCCTTGGTACGTTCCGTGGCGCGTCCCGTGGCGAGTCCCCCTGGCTCGTCGCGCGGCGCGTCCCCTGGCACGTCCCGTGGCACGTCCATTGGCACGTTCCGTAGTGCGTCCCTTTGGCACGTCCCGCGGTGCGTTCCCACGGCACGTCCCCTGGCACGTCGCCTGGCGCGTCCTTTGGGACGTCCCGCGGCGTGTCCTCCCGGCATGTCCCCCCGTCAAGTAGCTCCGGGGCAGCTACTATGTGCTCAGGCGGCTCGAGCTTAAGATCCAGATCAGTTCGAACAGGACTCGGATGCAAAGGAGGACTCGATCCACAACGCTATAGAGTACAATCGCGGCATGGCACATCGCAATTCAGCACGGCGAAGCACAGCACAGCCCTCAGCACGGTACATCAAGATTGATACATTCAGCATTGCAACCTGGCACGTTCCTTGGTACGTTCCGTGGCGCGTCCCGTGGCGAGTCCCCCTGGCTCGTCGCGCGGCGCGTCCCCTGGCACGTCCCGTGGCACGTCCATTGGCACGTTCCGTAGTGCGTCCCTTTGGCACGTCCCGCGGTGCGTTCCCACGGCACGTCCCCTGGCACGTCGCCTGGCGCGTCCTTTGGGACGTCCCGCGGCGTGTCCTCCCGGCATGTCCCCCCGTCAAGTAGCTCCGGGGCAGCTACTATGTGCTCAGGCGGCTCGAGCTTAAGATCCAGATCAGTTCGAACAGGACTCGGATGCAAAGGAGGACTCGATCCACAACGCTATAGAGTACAATCGCGGCATGGCACATCGCAATTCAGCACGGCGAAGCACAGCACAGCCCTCAGCACGGTACATCAAGATTGATACATTCAGCATTGCATTTGCCCGTCGCCCAATCAGGTGTCTTTGGAACGTTGCAACGCATTTCATTTCTATATTCCTTTCCGGGTGCGTGGGTCGATCATGCTTCGTTGTTCCTCGTCTGGGGGCCGTTCTCGGGCCCCGGGACCGTGAAGAACAGATCCGGGGCGAAAAACTGCAACAGGTGGTCCCCAGGAGGGATCCAGGAACCGATTTTGAACGGATTTGGCCTGTTCCCCCCTCCTGGCCGACTGCTTGACCGATCATCTAGGGCCCCAACCAGCTGCGACCCCCGGCCGCCTCCAACTCCCACTGCGGTTCCTCTTCCGCGTCTTCTTTTTTCCTCGCCCTTCCCCCCCATCCCCTTTTTATTGTGAAGGCCTGAAGGCTGGTGCCGCCGACCCTGAAGACGACGACGAGGAGGAGGAGGAGGAGGAGCAGGAGCAGGAGCAGGAGCAGGGGCAGGGGGATGACGGGGTGAATGAGCAGGAGGAGGGCGAGGATAATGGGAGTCGGAGGAGCAGGAGAAGAAGGAGGACGCGGAGGAGGAGGAGGAGGAGGAGGAGGAGGAGGAGGAGGAGGAGGAGGAGGAGGATTCTGGGGAGGAAAAGGTCGAGGTAAGGTTGGGGCCTCGGGAGCCTCCTGGGGGCCTCCAGGGGCTTCCTGGGAGCTTCTTGGGGGCGTCTCGAAGGCCTCTTGAGGCCTCCTGAGAGCGTCTCAGGGGCAAGGGCTCAAGATGTCCGTTCGGGTCCCCCGTCTGGGCCCCCTCTTGGAGCCGTCTTGGGTGCCTTTTGACCTGTCGTGGAGGCGTCTTGGGCCGTCTTGGGGCCCTCTTGGGCCATTGAACCTGCTTGGCACGGGGACGGAAAGCGCATTTGCTTTCAGAACGCAATAGATGGCTGGCCTGTCCGTTCTGGCCCTCTATCTTCCCGTCCGGAAGGTCTCTGACGGATATGAGGATCATAATGCGAGAGAGCACGGTGATGATGATGATGATGATGATGATGATGATGATGATGATGATGATGATGATGCTGATGCTGATGCTGATGCTGATGATGATGATGATGATGATGATGATGATGATGATGATGATGATGCTGATCATGATGATGATGATGATGATGATGATGAGGAGGAGGAGGAGGAGGATGATGATGATGATGATGATGATGATGATGACGATGGTGATGGTGGTGGTGATGGTGATGGTGGTGGTGCTGGTGGTGATGGTGGTGGTGATGATGATGAGGTTGATGCTGATGATGCTGATGATGATGATGATGCTAGAGATGATGACGATGCTGTTGCTAGCGATAATGACTATGGTCATCCTGAGCGTGATGCCAGTGACGACGATGACGACAGAAAAGATGACAGAGGGGGAGGGTAACGGACACAAGGGGGCATAATAAGGCATACATTGGCATAATGAACATGAGGGGCATAAAGGGCGGCCAAAGGGGCAGAAGTGAGCGTCAGGGACCTAGAGCCTAGGGGCATAGGAGACACAAGCGTACATCGGGGGCATACGGGGCTTAAGGGGCATGGACGGCATAATGGAACACAAAGGGCATAAAAGGGTCATCTCCGAGGTCAGGTTTGCGAGGATGTCTCAGGCGAAAGTGGCCTGAACACCTCAGCCTCAGGGCGTCTCGGAATTGACTCTCGTTCAGTACAAGCGAGTATGACGAATAGCTCCTCCTTGTCCTCCTCCTCCTCCTCGCTCCGCGCTCCCCCACCTCGCTTCTCCTCCTCCTCCTCATCCTCCTCCTCATTGCTTCTCGCTCCCTGCTCCACCTGCTGATCCTCCTCCTCCTCCTCCTCCTCGCTCCTCGCTGATCCTTGCTCCCATCCTTCTCCTCCTCCTCCGCCTCCTCCTCCTCCTCCTCCTCCCCATCGCTCCTCGCGGGCCTCTTGGGGGCCTCTTAGGGGCCTCTTAAGGCCGAGGGGCCGAAAAGCTCGGTCGGGTACCCCGTCTGGGCCCACTCTTGGAGCCGCCTTTGGGGCCCATTGGGCCGTCTTTGGAGTGTCGGGGAGCCGAAAAGGCGAGAACCCCCAAAACCTTTCAAACACCATCAGAACATCCATGATGCCTCTCTTGGGCCTCTTGGGAGGCCTCTTGGAAACCTCTTGGGGCGTCTTGGAGGCCTCTTGGACCGTCTGGGAGGCGTCTTGGGCCGTCTTTGACGCATCTCGGGCGAAGTTGGAGGCCTCTTGATCCCTCTGGAGCCGTCTTGGAGGCCATCTTGGACCGTCTACGGCTATC